CTGCCACATTACATCATCACACAACTGTCACCTTACATGATCACACACTGCCACATTACATCATCACACAATTGTCACCTTACATCATCACACAACTGTCACATTACATCATCACACAACTGTCACATTACAGTATCACACAACTGTCACAGCATCACACAACTGTCACATTACATCACCACACAACTGCCACATTACAAATCACAGAGCTGCCAAACCATTGAGAATTGTGGCCCAGCCAAGCTGACATATACTTTGGGGAACATATTCATTCCATGACAGCAGCCTCGTCTGCAGCAGTAGAACTTCAGTGATAGCCCAAGAACAAAAGAGCAGTTGTACTAAAGGTCATTCCTAGAACTTTCTTTCACTTTGTCTTGGTACCTGACAGAGACTCTGGAATTTACATTTATTCCTCTTGGTGACAATCTAAGGTGCTGTTTCCTCTTATCATTTCCCCTTCCATTTGTTATCCAACCTGTCTTTTTTCTGGGATCCAGCCCACAAACAACCCCGTCTTCTCATATACACCCTGAAAGGCATGACTAATCAATCAAGATCACTTCATTCAAGCCTTTACTCTTGTAACACCTTAGTAAAACCTTTCCTGGTCACCATCCCATGTACACACACCATCTTCCCATTTTAGTCTTCTCTATAGTATTCATTATCGTTTAAAAACCCATTGCCTTCAGATTGGCTCCAACTCATAAAGACAGTATAGGACAGAGTAGAACTGCCCCATAGGATTTCCAAAGGTCTAACCTTACAGAAGAAGACTACCACATCTATCTCCCACAGAGAGGCTGCCGGGTGGGAATCTTTCAGTTAGCAGCTGAGCTCTTAACGACTGCCCCATCAAAGCTTCTTCATTAGTTTTTAACATTCTGTATGTTTTCTCTTTATCTTGTTTATTGTTTATTTCCTCCCACTGGAGGTCAGCTCTCTGAAGGCAGGGATTTGGCTTAGTCCTCTGTTCACTGCTGAATCTCCAGGGTTTGGAATAAGTGCCTGGGACAAAGAAGCACAGTATATGAGTGAATTGAATGACTGTTTCATGTGTTTCTTGCCCATCCATCAGGGCTATACTTGAGCAGAGCATGTTTGCCTGTCTGCTTTTTAATTCCATAGTAAGTGAAAGTATAACACCAGGCTTCTAACCAGAGGTGTCTGGATTTTCAGAGCACCTACAAAGGCATTCTGTACAAACGTGTGTGTCTGCATTTGTCTTGGGAAAGGTCCTCCTGCTTTTCATCAAAGTTTCTGAGCTGTTGGACTCAAAAGATTCAAGTGAATAACAGATTGGAATTTGATTCCTCATTCTGGTTGCTATCTGTGGCCTTGTTTTGTTTTTCAATTTATTCATTTGATTTATTGTAGTAAAATACACTAAACAAAATTGGCCATTGTAACCATTCTGAACTGGACAATTCAGAGCCGTTTAGTTCATTCCCAGTGTTGTGCAGCTGTCACCCTGGTCTAGATCAGAACATTTTCATTATTCCAAAAAGAAAACCTGTCCGTTTTTTGCAATCGCTCCCTTTGCTCCTGCCCTCCCAGAAAGGCACCAATCTGCCTCCCAGTACTATGGATTTGCCTGTTCGGAATATATGTCATCAATGGAACCATAGGCTTCCTTCACGTAACATGTTTCAGGGTTTAGATATTTTATAGTATAAATCAGTACTTCCTTTTAAAAAACAGTTGGTTGTACTTTTGGTGATAATTACACAGCATTGTAGGTTCCCATTTAACAATTTCTACACAAGCTGTTCATTGATGTTGGTTATGGTCTCCGTGATGCATGAGCATTCTCAATATATCTGTTTTGGTTGTTCTGTTTTTATTTATCTAGTTTCCCTGACCCCTGACAGTCTCATCTTGGTTTTAAAGTAATTGTTGGCCATTTGGTCTCTTATAGGTGATTTTTTGTTGTTGTTTTTTTAAAAAAGCACAGTACTTATGGGTTACAATCATTTTTTTTTAATTTTTAATTTACCATCTGTTATTAGCTACAAAGTATGCTTGGGTTAGTTTGGGTTCAAGGTTTGAAGAGTATGCTAAGGCAAATTCCTTGACTTTTCATTTCTTTAGCAGTGAAATGGAAATGGTTCCATCTTTTCCATTCTTTACTTCAGTAAGTCATGTGAGAATCAAATGAAAAGCTAACAAAACTTAAGGAATACAGAGTTCCTTTAATTCCATTATCTTTTCATTCCATTTTTCCACAAACTTTTTGAAGCCGAGTCCTCCTTTACCTCAGGATCGGCACTGGACTGCATAGCACAAGGTTGGCAGTTCAAACCCACCAGCTGCTGCTCAGAAACCCTGTAAAGGTCGCTATGAGCCAGAACTGACTTGATGGCACTTAATAACAACAACGTACACTTCAAGTGCACTGAGGGTTTTCATAGCGTCTTATCTGTGTCACTGCTCACAAGCCCCACTTACCTGCCTTTTCTGCTCAGGCACAGGCGCCTTGCGCTGCTGAAGCAGGTCAGTATCCGGGAAAACTGCTGCTCCCTGTGTTGCGATGAGGTCGCAGACACACAACTGAAGCCATGTGGACACAGGTGAGGAGCCTTGCTTGGGTGTCTCCTTTTTGTACATTGGACAGTCTGTCTTCTGTTCTTGAATTGCTTTGAGCGAAGTTCATCAAGGTTTACTATATTAAAAGTGGGCTGAAAAGGAAATTAGGGGTGCCAAGTAGCACATGGCCATCTTCCAGAAAATACCTAAAACATATAAAGCTGCCTGATACGTCTTTGTTTTATTTAGTTCACTCAATACTATCATTTTAAATATAATCTTCAGGTTACAAATGTTAGCCGTTTAATATTGTTAATGGGTTTCTTGGGTAATCTGTTCATTTTAGAATACTGCTTACTATGGGAAGGCAACAGCCTTCCTGCCATCTAACTAGATTTGAACTCTGAGGTCAACTCAGAGGGCTACCTGGGTTCTAGGGGACAGAGGGTCTGAACATCAGTCAGCAAAAGTAGCAACTAAGATGGTCTCTACAAAGACCATCCCCACTAGGGTTAGAGAAGGGAAGAGGAGGACTTGGGCAGTGTGGTGGCCCAGTCACACTGGGGCACTCAGGCTAATTGTGTATGATGATGTTACAAGCCAGTGGCTATAATCCATTAAATTCTATACCGTCTCTTTTAACATAGCTTTAGCTACCAGGTTCCTTAGCATGGAGTGTTGGACCCCAGTTTGTCCTCCCATGTGTGATGCACAGCCTCTATACATTACTGCCCTGTAAAATCAGTTGTTAGCTGGTAAGGAGTCCTGTAGGATAAACACTGGACCATAAGGTTGGTTTGAATTGCAATGAACTGCAAGGTTGGTGGTTCAAACCCACCAGCTGCTAATCGGAAACCCTATACAGGGTCACTATGAGTCAGAAATGACTCAACGGTGTTTAACAGTACCAACAAGGAGCATGCGTACTATGTATCTCATTCCCCCCTTAGCTGTACCAGCTTCTGAAAGAAAGACACAGTACCTCAACCTGCTCCGGTGTGATTACTTCTTGGTATCAACTGGGCAGCCCAGACTTCCTCAGTTAGGCGCCTTTTAAGGTTTAATTAATCAAGGCCTCACAAGCAGATCCAAAGTTAAGGGTGTGATATCTTGGTGACCTTTTTGATCTCTGTTTCTATCAGAATGTTTAGACCCCAAACAGTATGACCTGTTCTTATTCATGAGCTCTCTGGCCCTCTCCAGTGGTTTTCTACAGTTGTTGTTTGTTGTTGTCAAGTCGCTTCCAACCCATAGCAATCCTGAATAGGGTTTCTGGTGAGCAGCTGGTGAGATTGAACCTCTGACCTTGCAGTTCAAACGAACCCATCTCATTAACCCACAGAGCCACGCCAGGACTCCAATCCAGTTTTGCACCTAAGGGCTCCTTAATAGGAATTGAAGTCTAAAAGTTTAGGACCAGCTTTCTTGGATATAATCACAGTCTCTATAATAGAAATCTCCAAATAGAGTTGAAAAAGGAAATTAATAAAAAGTCTAGTTCAACAGTTTTTAAAAGTGAGGTTAAAAAATGGAAATCTGAATAAAATGAATTGCCAGTACCAACTCCAGAAGAGATTGCAAATCTAAGCATTCTTTTTAACATATAGGGAAGTTCTTGTTAAGTGCTGTCAAGTTGGTTCTGACTCGTAGCAACCCTGTATAGACCCTGATGCTGTAAATCTTTGCAGGAATAGAAAACCTCATCTTTCTCCCATGGAGCAACTGGTGGGCTTAAACCACCAACCTTGTGGTTCTCCGTCCAGTGTTTATCCTACGCTCCCTATAAGGGAGAAGACATGCTAAGTGAAACTTCTATGTGATACTAAGGCAAGAAAATTCTGACAGAGAAACGTTACAAAGAGGACCAACCCTACCACATATTAAAAGATGACTAGCTGTTTGAGGGAAAATATCATTGGATCCCTAACTGCATACACACATATGTATGTATGAGAAGACTTCAAAATGTTCGCAAAAAAATTCTGTTACCTTTCAATGCCATTTTTCCACAAATTTTTTGAAGCCCCCACAGATCTGTGTGTTGCATACCTGTAGGCTTTTTCTGGACGAGTACCATGAATTTTCACTTGTTGCCTTAGGGGAGGAGATTAAGGGTCTGAAATGAGAGCGATTTGTTATCTTTTTTTTTTTTTTTAACCATGTATAATTACTATACCCTGTCAATCAACTTGGTAACATTTTAAATCTAATTGGAAGGTGGTCGGGGTCTGAACCTT